AATTATCCATTTCCTGCAAATAAATAACACTTTAGACAATAATAGTGCTTTAGAAAGGAAACAATCTCTGTACTGAAATTAATATAAATACAATTTATGCATATTAATATTTTTATTACCTAAGTAATTCAAGCAAAATATTTAGCCTACAAAATTTATATTAGAAGCCAAAATCTGTAGTCCTGGGAGCTTGCTTGAGCAAAGGCTGCAGGTTTTGGCCAAGGTTCTTTAAAAGTAGCCAATCTCTAAAAGGGTGATTAAAAACAAAACATTGATTCTCAGCACACAGAGTACAAATCTTTGTCTGTATAGTCCACAGTTTCATTCTGTGTTACCTTGCAGCACAGAGCCTATTAATACATTTCTTATATCTACTGTGATTTACAATAAGTTGCTAATCCTTAGCCTATGCACACGTAGGATGGGATTCATCTGTTCTAACTTCTGGTATCAAAGATAATCATCTACAGCCTATGCCTTAGATAGGTCATCTATAGGATGCCTAACATAGGATAGGACCTAAGATCCTTTGCAGTCAAAAGGATGGACTATCCAGAGAGTGGTTCATCTTAACCTAAGGCCAGTACTTTAAAAAGCACATATGATAAATCATAGCCTGAAAGCTGCCTATTTCCTTGTAGTTACTACAAGCAGATTTAGGATGACAAGCTGAGACTTGTGTGCTCATACTCAGATTTGCTTCATGTTACAATAGTTGTAAACAATGTATTATTATTCTCAGTAAATAGAAGCCACACAACAAAATAAAATCTGAAACTAACCTTCTTGAAATTAAATAACAACCAGCAAACCATGAGCACCAATTCTAAATATTGAATGTCAACTGACAAATTATGTAATATCTCATCCTTTTGTTTCCAAAATGCTGGGTTTGAGGTGATTCACCAGAAACTCCCAAATTTCAATTTCTGAAACTGTCAGTTTCTGCCCCTGCTTGATTTGTCTCTGTGATACTTACAGATCAGGATATAAAGCATAAAGAACATGGCATAAAGAACAACTTGCCCCAAAGCCTTGACTGAGCATTTACAGAATTTTGCATGGAACTGGGATACGAAAGTGCCATTTACTTTACTTAGTAGCTTCTTCAGTAGCAGCTAAATATGGGATCATAAATCAAGATCATAAATCACAGGCTTTGATAGCTAATTCTTTTTTTGGTTATTTTATCTCCAGGAAAACATCACCTTGATTGCACTGAGTATTTCTATGAAATCTCTGTTTAAGTTTTACTTTCTGATTATCTTTTCCACACTTTGTTTCATCAAGGAAGAGAAGCTCTGTGTTTTATATCATTAAATACAATGTAAAACTCCACAAGTCTTCTAAATTTATTGCAATATTTGGAAACTAATGACTACTTCCACTCAAGTCCTAATGAATCCTCCATAGCAGTGCAGGGTCTTTTGGGTGTTACCAGAGAAAATTATGGTTTAGCCTTATAGAATTAAGTTGGAAATGACAGTCTGCTGCCATAATCTTCCCCCTCACAGGCAGCTGAAATCAGATTTATTTACTTCCTGGATTTGGCATTCAAAACTGCTGCTTCTTCTTTCTGGGTATTTTTTCATTTTTTAAGTCCAACTTCTAGACCTTTGTTCAACTGCTAAGAGATCTCCATTTTTAAAAAATTCCTTCTGAATTCTGCATTTCTATGTTCATGCTCCTGCTATTATTTTTCTGGTCTTCAGAATTCTACTCAACAACAGACTGTACAATGGAGCTTCAAAGAAAATACTGAGGTAGATGGACACTAAATAATCCTTTTTTATTATTATTATTTCTGAGCAATCATTCCATCTCAATGCTTCCTACAGATTCCTGTGATTCTGCAGCCCACGAGGAGTGCATCTGAATGAGTATGCACACGCAGGAACAAGACTGAATGTATCACAATGCTTAGCAATTACTCTCTTGAAAACATATTTGTCTAGACTCTGATCCATAGCAACATTTCAACTCTCATTAATTACTATTTTGCCTCCTCAATATCTCGCTGGAAGGGATTTTTTAAAAGTGCACTCAAAGTCCAAATGGATTTTGTTAACCCATTCTCTTTTATCTTCTTTATCTTGTCATGCTCAAAACTTTTTTTTCAATATTTTCATACCCTGAAATTCACGTTCAATGGATAGTTTAGATACTCAGTTGGGATTTTTTTTGTTATGAAATATGGGTCCATATTCTGCAATTTAGATTCTCAGCAGATTTTTAGCAGATTACCTACTTTATTATTGAGTTATATTAGATCCCACTAGACAAATACCAGACAGTCCTCTCCTAAAGTTTTTTATTTGAAGTGTGACGTTAGTCCAGCATCTTATCTCCTGATGCCTTAACCTACAATTTTCACTGGATAAATTAGTTCCCAAGCTCTATCCTGTGATGAAGATAGCTGTAACATAAACAAAACTGTAGGTTTTCTTCAATATACTTATCCTCTCTAATTGGACTCTTTGTTATAATCACACAAATTGAATGATTCTGTCAATGGCTTCCTACTTCTCAGTCATTCACTTTTCTTAAGTAAGTTCTTTAAGCATAAGGAAGAAAGCTATAGCTGGAGTGAACTTATATCATTTTCATTCACTGTTGAAGCATTGTGTAACATACTACACCTGGCACAACAGACCCAATAAATTTGACCTGCATGTACTGTGTGAAGTTTGCCTAGGTTTGCATACTGAAGTGAAATTACAGATTGTTGTACTGGCTGCACAAAGTAAGCACTTTTAAAACATAATCTGATAGTATTTTCTCAGAGTTCAACTATCTCATTTTTATTCATCTCTGTACTGTTGTTGTTTCTGTTTGCTTCATTACCTGGTTCTTGATACTCCTCTCTTTCTACCTCCTTGCTTTGTTTTCTTTTTTTTAATTCTTAGTTATTATAATATTCTCTTTTTTTTTTGGTGCTCTGCTTCTGTTTGACCACTTTCTGCCTCCTACCTCTTCCTCTCTGTACATGCCTTCCCATTCTGCTGCTTTCTCATTTTTTTCTACTGCGTGCAGAAAAAAAACTTGCCACACAGTTCATCGGATAGTAGACAATAAACGTGTGGGAATGTTGTAGAATCCTGTCATGGGAATAGTCATTTCCATCATGTCAGTGTATCAGTGCCAGAAGAACTGCTACTGGCATATTACAAATGCCTTAGACATACAATATGATGGGAAAAAAGCAGCAGGTTGCCTCTTTCTTAAACATGTGAAAACTAGTGCACAGAAGTTAACATCTTAAGCTCCAGTACCAATCTAGAGGACACCACAGGGACTTCATCACCTGCAGTTTACATCTTCTGGACTAGTTGCAAAGTCCATTTGTTCAGACCCATAGCTATCCAAAAACATATACAATGCATAGGCTTTGAGGATTCCCATGATGGTTGGTTGCCTCTATTGTGCCATTTGGTTGAATTTTGTTACTGAAATACAGAAATATGAAATAGAAAATATTGCCTGACATGCCTAGACATCTGCAAAAACCAGAAAACAAAAGTTTAGTGTAAAAATGTTCACCAGAGCCTAAGGTTTGTTGCTATACATATGCTGTCTTTTCTGAATTGGCTGCCTATTCCCTTATACACACCTATCTGGGAACTAAAATTCAGGCATCCCTGAGCTTAATCCTCCTGGAGAACTCAGATTGCTAGTTATGTTCCCAGGTTAGAATTTAGTTTCAGGAAAATCTGGCAAGCAGTGGTGGCAGAGACCTTTTAAACAACAGACCTCTTATAAGAGAAGTTGCTCAGGAAGGCAAACCCTGACTCTACCTGACAGATTAGCAGTTAGGTAGAGTATTTAAACTCTGGCACAAGTTATTGTTTCCTAATACAGTGAAAGTCCTTACTTCTCTATTCAGTCATTGTCCATCTGAAACATATAACCAAGCTAGGGAAAAAGGACCCAAGTGTTTATGAGCTATCCTTGTTTGGATGTGTGTGTGTTAAAATCCTTGGGCTGGACAAGATGACCTCCAGAGGTCCCTCTCAACCTAAACCATTCTGTTATTCTGTGATCCTCTGAGGCTAAAGTATAACTAGAAGTCACATATCCCTTTCTCCAGGCAAATGCTCAAACTACCACAATATTGTGCAAAGAGTGAGCAGCAGCATTACTTCATCACTATTTCTGGAGGAAAGAGAGATCCCAGTATTTATTCCCAGGTTTTCAAGCACTTAGTCTCGGAGGTATCTACCTCTATCTATTTTGAAGTCCAGGTATTTTCTGAGCGTGATGTAGTTTGCATTACTAATAATCCTCAAGAAATCTCACTGTTGAGTTTCTCCTTGAATGTATGTAAGCCTTTTTGCATTCACAAGGACCTTCACAAATTATCTCAGATAAGTAGTTCTGTGTAATGCAAAAGAAAATGGAAATGAAAAAGAAAGACTGTTCAAGTGCAAGTACCAGTCAGGACTATTTCCAGTTTAAAAGAAGGTACTCTAGAAAAAGATAAATACTGGACAATTCCAGAGTTTCATGCACTAGAGATTCCAAACACTTCAACACTTGGAGTTTTCAGAATCACTTATATAGAGAATATTTTTTTCATAGGAGTAAATTTGTTTTATCACTTTTATACCTTGATTCTACAGTGTATTAAGTGATATATAATCAATACTATAATAAAAAAAAAGTATGCAGGGTATTTTTTAAGGTGCAGGCAACAGCGTTATGAGTTCTCAGCAGCACAAAATAAATGTTATTGTCATCTGTGATGATAGATAATAAAATGGGTATGTTTAAACACACAGCTTATTTTTTTTTCAATTTCCGGAGAAAACTAGTCACCATTAGTAGTTACAAAACACAGAGTAAAATTACTAAATACATTACATCTTAGAAAAAAAATCACAATAAAGGCTATTATTTCATCTAAAATGTAAAAATTTTGTAGTATACTTTTCTATTGGTACAAAAAAACCCTTGTAACAACAACTCCAATAACTGTATTACTTAAGAATCTTTATATTTACCCACGCACTGGAACATTCATATTCCTTGCAGATTTAGCAACTTCTTCAAATTTTTCTATGCTTTCTTCAATTGAACAATTAATATTCATTTTGCTAAAAGATTCAGATGCTGCACCAAATACTGAGACTTCTGTAGCCCCTGCTGCAATCTGAAAAATACATTTTAATAAAACAGAATAATAATACTATATTAAAAGATTAGATTAAGCATTTAATTCTGTATGACACTCTAAAATTTTAAAGTAGATTATAAGTATATCATTCATATCTAAAATACAAGTTTCATTCCTTTTTTTTTTAATCTATTGCATACAAACAGATTGAATCAACTTTTGAGTCCATTCACTATGGCATATTTCCTTCCTCTTCTTAGCAATTAGGTAAACATATTTCTGAAATGATATATGATAAAGGCATTAAGATGTAGGAAATCACATGAACCAACTATGAAAATAATAATGATTGATACTTATATTCATTTTTCAGAAAAGGAAAAGATCATATAACAACTCTGAAATAGCCATCCTCTGCACAAAGCCTGTTTCTCATGAATGCCAGGAAGTAATTCTCATGCTTAGGAAAGCTCTGTGCCTATATTTGCCTAGAACAGCAACAATAACCAGCAGGGATTTCCTTGTTAGATCGAACTCTAGGATCAAGGACTCCATTGGTCTTGGTGTCATAGTTGATACGGATAATATGGAAAATGTGTATGTGAGAGTCCACTGAGAAAAAGTCTCAGAGCAAATACCAGTCTATAAAATGTGTAAATGTGGTGACTTCACTGAAGGGGCAAGTAGCCTGAGCTTCTACTCAGTACCTTAGTACTCAGTAAATCAATTAACATGAGGCAAACTAGAATGCTAAAAGCCACGTGATAGGAGAAGAAAACACTTAAGCTTAGGAGAATAGCTAATTAATTAATTCTCACTCTCCAGTGAGAATAATACTCTTACTCTATTAAAAAGAATGGAGTTTTTCCCCTTACTCTCTGCTTCTGCAGGATAACGTCTAAGCTTCAGCAACCCTTACAGGAACATATATGCTTCCAGATAGAGGGAAGAAAAAAATAAATAGCAGCAAGAAAGAACTCAGCAATAACCTACAACTATTTTTGCATTGTTTTCCTTTCATTATATCACTAAATATGGTATAGAGATATAGCAGATTTAATTCAACTCATACAAGCTACCATTGCAGACAAAGTTGTGGCACTATAAATCTGACTATTGATAGTTAACTCGCCTAAGTACAGGATTCTGTTTTAACAGAGATTTCATATGCAGTACAGAAATTGAATGATAGACTACACCACAAATGTCCATCAAGCAGTATGCTTTCCAAATATGGCTTGCCCTATATCAAGACAAAAGCATAGAAGCATGAAAAATTTTCAGAAAACAAAAAAGTGTTTAAGATTTTACTATCAATGTATATGTTTTAAGAAGACTGAAATGCTCCATTTTCACAATTCCAAACACTTCTAGTCTATAATTTTGAATATTTATTTTCTATGAACTGAAACAATTTAAACTTTCAAACCCTACCAAAATGAAACACAGAATTTAAGAAATCTAATACATTCCTACAAAGCATTTTCATTTAAATGACTCTTTCCTCATTCTTATTCACTACTTTCCAATAAGAAGACACTCCAGAAACTTTTCTAGGGCAAACAAGTCAAAGAAGAAGGAATTGTCTTTCTTTTTATATACAAGCATCATTTACAGGAACTTGCAAAGATTATTTGATCAATACTTCCATTAAAATATGAATATGTAGACCTTAACATCACTCTGCGAATTCATCCATTTTTCACAATTTAATTAATTAATTAAAAAAACTATAGCTTAGTTCTAACAGGACAGGTTATAACCTGACATTAAATAGCTAGTTTATGGTACTGGACTGAAAGTGTCTGAAACCTGAAAGAGGTAATTGTGGACGTCTTCTATGAAGGTACTTACAGCAGAATGAAAACCTTGAAGATTAGGTGTGAGAACAGGATACTGAACTCCAGGATGCCGCTCAATGCCCCTCATTACTTCTTTGTGATCTGCCATCTAAAATATATATAAATAATTTGTATTGATCAGCAGTTATTTTCTGATTTTATATAGATCAGCAGAAATTGGTTTAGACTGTGGTTTTGCCTTCATTAGGTATACAGTTCATATAAAAAGTGTAACAACAAAGGGGTTAAATTGATGTTGTACAAGCATACTTTTTTTTGGATTTCTTCACTTTTAAGTGTTTGAGTTGCAAGCTTTCCAGTTCTATATGAATATAGAATTGGGACTAAGATTTCTACATCTTTCTTTTTTGTGTGTATCTGTAAAAACATGATTTGTATCATAAATTGGTAGGCTTGTGATCATGCTGATCATCTTGAAATTTACCTCAATGGACTCAATAGGTGGAATTAACAGAATAACTGACATTTTAAAACCATACAAATCCTTCAGCATTCTGATAAATTCAACTTCACAATCTTAAACATAAGTGAACCTAAATTACTCAACACTGTAATCAGCATATTTGAAAAGACTAATGACAAGTCTGTCTTTAAAAATATAACAAAATCCAGTTCTCTGTGTAGTGTAACAGTTTTATATACTTAGAATTTTCTTTCAAAAGAAGAAAATACTTCTTTATTATAGCAAAGGTCAAAGACCATTACTTTAATCAAGCATGTTTTCCTTAGTCTCCCCTCACAAAAGAAACTCTTCCTTTTTAAGATATTCTTACACTTTTCTCACTCAAAATTAAATATACTCAATGTACTAATCAAAAAGATGAATCAAAGACTTATTCATGTAATAAACTGTGGATTATTTAGACAAGCAGATTTTCTTGAAAGAAGTGGAGGAAAAATGAGTTTATTTTTTAATGGTGTGATGCCTGAAAACAATACAGTTAATAAAACATATCCCTCATATTTCATGTCTTATAGATTTTAAGTTTTAAAAAAGGAATAGTGTATTTTAAATGCTTTTTAAATCAGCTCTCATAAAAGCAAATCTTCCAAGCAAACAACATTAAATTGGATTTCTGATTCTTTTGACACTGATGAAAAGTCATTTGAGGAGTACTGTATGAAAAGATATATATGTGAACTACAAAGCTTTCATTACTCCTTATTTGCAACAGATACTTTATTGACAGCTTTGCAGTACCACAATACTAAATATGTGACATTAAATTATATCAGATTATTAAGTGACAATACTACTGGCAACCTGGAATCTTCCTGTCACTGGTTTCCTACTACAGAAATGAATGGATTAAAAATATCAGAAAAATGCATGTATGCCTCCTCAAATGTAAGCCCAACTTGTATCTATAAGGAAGTGGATATATGGTATGAAAAGTGTCTTAAAGCCAGACACAACTGATTTCTCATCAGGAAACCAGTGATGGCACAAAGCAACTTTCTGTAATTGTTTCTACATAAACTAAATCAGTGTGACCACCTAACATATCTGATAACCTCACAAAAAGCAATTTGGTAATGCCTTAGTTTTTTAAGAACAACTTTTTGTTCCTTAATTTAATATAAATAGTATCTACATTTCTCAGGGCAAGGAATAATGTTTGAAACCAAATGATTAATTAAATGGCAAATGCTGGAACCAATTCCACACTTTAAAATTATAGCCTGACTTAAAATATACTAGAAAACCAAAATGAAACTTTTTCAACCAGTATAAAGCTGCCAGATCCAAATAATACATATTACATTTGTCCTACTATTTTTCCTGTAAGTAAAATCCCATTTTAACACATACTGTATGTTATAAGATTTTAAGTTGTAATAAAATATTTCTTCTCCAAATTTCTTTAAAAATAAGCTTTCTGATGGTAGGTATTTATAATTTTTGGCTGTTTAGGTTATAGGTGTGGCATCCTGTTTTATATGGCACCTCGCTACTGTGGAACTTTTTCTTTTCGCTTTTTTCAGTAAAAAAAAGTCTGCCAAAAAAAACAGTGGATGGGAAACCATAAAAGAGCTTTAAAATACTAAAAAAAGAAATAAGTGAATGAGTGATCTAAACATAACCGTGAATTCTATTCCCATGACCTATGAAAAGAAAAAAAGAGCAAAGAAAAGACAAAGTCAAGACTGCACTCCCTATCAAAGCAACACAATCTTACCTTTTAAATAAAAAAAATTTTAAACACAAATTAAGCCATTAAAATAAAGCATTCAGATGTGACTTTAAGATTAGAAGGGATTGTTCATTTTTTCCAAAACTGACAAACCTGTGCTAAATTTGGTACTCCTAATGGCTCACAGGAAAAGGAAATAATTAAACAAGAAAGGAAGAAATCCACCTTTCCTTTAGACTTTTCTTTCTAATGTTTAAAAACCTTCATTATTCTCTGTTGCCGTAACTGCCAAAGTTTGATGACATTTGGAAAAAATTTAACCTAGTCGCTTTTAATGGACGCAGTATCATTGCCCCTGCATTGACAGCAAAAAAAATCTGGACTGTCGCTGTTCTCTTCCCCTTTCGTATTATCCTTCCTTTGGATCCTTCCCTGGTGATCCTGAGAACAATGAAATAAAGGAGTCCCTCAGAGTGCTGCACAGTTTGTTCTGCTAACTCATGAATAAGAAAAAGTATGATCGTACTACGGTTTACTCAGAGGAAAGCCTGGAATACAGTCCAGGCCCAGGATGTATTCTCAGTTTAAAATGGACAAAATTTATATACGTTATGACAGAAGTTGTGCAACAAATGTTAAAAATTGATGGATTTTCTCAAATTAATTAATTTCATGCTTTACTTTGTAAATAACTTGTGTGGTCCTTACTGAACTTATAAGTACTCAAATGCTTCTGTGCAAACAAGTGTGTAACTTCTTGAAAATGAGTTTAAATGATATAGACAAGTACTGACTTATTTCGTTACTTGCAGGGAATAATTAAGTTTGCACAAACAGGAGCTACATAGTATACTTCGGGACTAAGCCTGAATTTGTAGTGCTAAATCTCAAATGAAAACCTGGCACTCCTAATGCCAATGTAGTTTTGCTGTTGCCTTCAGAAAGTCTAGGATTTATGCTGAATTGTACCAAATGTAAAAATTAATTTTGGAAAAATAATGAGCAAATTATTACTATTAATCAAAACTCAGTATGGCTGCTGATAGAGTGCTAAATCTGCAAAATAACTAACGTGCCTAACTACTACTCCATATATGAAAGTCCCCAATTTAGATCTTCCAAACACACTTTCAAATGTGGAAAATGAAATTTCATTTAGGGAAAAAGAAAGAAAGATATGCTACCTTTCTTTTTTACATTGATGACTGTTAGTTCTCAGAAGAGTAGAAAAGAGGTAGGAACAACATTAAATTATATTAATGATCCCATTTAGGATCATAGGATATCCTGAGTTGGAAGGGATCCATAAGGATCATCCAGTCCAACTCCTGGCTCCACACAGGACCAGCTGAATCAGAGCATATGACTGAGAGCGTTATCCAGATGCTTCTTAAACTCAGTCAAGCTCGGTGCTGTGACCGCTTCCCTGGGGAGCCTGTTCTAGTGCCCGACCACCCTCTCAGTGAAGACCCTTTTCCTAACATCCAACCTAAACCTCCCCCATCGCAGCTTCATTCTGTTCCCATGGGTTCTATCACTGGTCACCAGAGGGAGGAGATCAGCACCTGATGATCCATGATACTCATGGATACTCAGGATACTCATGGAGTTCTTTAGTTGCAACTGAATGCTTACATAAATAAAGAGCAAAATAAAATGCACAAGGACTTGATTTGCCTGTGTTCCATAGTACAACATTAACATTGATTGTAAAGAATTTTCTCTATATTATTAACTGCAAAAACTCACTGCCCCTTTGTGAGCAAATTCAAAATCAGGATCGAACATCTCTCCTTAACTAGAATACTTCAACATATAAGCACATGTGTGTTTGTATGTGCGTGTGTGTTTATGCTAGTGTTTGGAAAAGGACGACTGGGTGGTGGATAGATACACAGAAATGTACCACATGCAGCAGACGTTCAAAAATGGTGTTTGGCTTCAGGGAAGAGTCGAGTTTCCATGACAGTCCACACAACCCTCAGGCCTGGAGAGTCTGCTCCCTTGGTTTGGTCCTAGAGAGCACTTTTGAGAAATTTACCCAGTTGGCACAAGCCCTGTGCATCTAGGTGTTTCTGCCCTGATTCTAGGTCTCTGATTTGGTGTTGGTTCCACAAGAAGTCCCCTTCACCATGACTGTTCCCCAGAGATCAGCCCCACAGCTGTTCATCTGGATACGCAAGCTCAGTACTCTGAATCCCAACTGCTTCATAATCTCAAATCTTTATCATTACATCTACACTCAGCATCCTATATCCCAGTTGCCCTTTACTCATGGTGTTGATCCATCATCCGCACACCTCTTACACCCACTCAGCATCCTGTGACCAGTTCTCTTACTCCCCATTTACTGCCGTCCCTTGCACAAACACACACACACAAATTCCTACCCTCCTGCTGCAAGGGGGAAATTGGTGATGACCTGCTAAATTATGTATGTTCGAAGAGCAATGACAATATTTAAGATTTCTCACACCCTATGTAGTAATCATGGCAAACTGTACTCCTAGCATGTCTGTTGATCAGGGCCTGGAGTGCTCCTCTCCTATGAGTTTAGCTGCCTGCACTCAAGGTCAGCTCACTGATAAGAAGACAGTAACCTAAGAAGCATCACTCAGCCTTGGAGCTCATCAATAAAAGCTGGAAAGCAGATGAACAGAGGCACCCCCAAACAGCTCTGTTAATCATAGAATCATAGAATGGTTTGGGTTGGAAGGGATCTCAAAGATCATTTAGTTCCAATCCCCTTGCCATGGGCAGGGACACCCTCTACCAGACCAAAGCCCCATCCAACCTGGCCTTGAACACTGCCAGGGAGGGGGCATCCACAACTTCTCTGGGCAGCCTGTTCCAGGCCCTCACCACCTTCACAGTGAAGAATTTTTTCCTTCTATCTAATAAATCTATCCTCTTTTAGTTTAAAGTAATTGCCCCTTGTCCTATCACTATACTCCCTGATAAAGAGCCCCTCTCCAGCATTCCTGTAGGCCCCCTTCAGGTTCTGGAAGGCTGCTATAAGGTCTCACCAGAGCCTTCTCTTCTCCAGGCTGAGAGAAGAAGAGTTAACATGGCCCTTTCAGTCAACTTCACAGCAAAAGTTGCTTCACAGCAACTTTTAAGCTGAGACACTCTCACTCTTCCTCCCAATCTGAGAAACAGTGCAGCTGCACAGCAGCAGCCAAGCCTCTGCTTGGCCATGTACCTTACTGACTGGATCTTGACTACGTCCTCCCACACCTGACTTCCTGGCTTAATCTGGGACCTGCCGCATCACTGCAGACTCACCCGAGTATGTGTACTCTTGGCTGCCCTGGTTACCCTCACCAGACTTGCTCTGCTCTCAGGGACTGTTGGACTGCCCTTTGGTCAACAAGGCTATAACCTCTGCTCTCCTTGTTATCATGCTTGGCTTCCAGTTCCCCTTCCCTTCTGGAGCAACCTCCTCTTGCTGAATAAAAGCACAAAACTTGAAAACTGCGTAAATGGCGTCTGACAACAGCATCCGATTTTACAAATAAACATTATTTCTGTTCCATTTTCTTGTATAATTATACAGGCTATACTAATGGAAAACTCCACTGCATGGAATGGCATTTAAATAGATATAGTTCTGAATGGTGATGATTTTACATACCTGAGGCACCCATTTGGATGAAACAAAACTGGTCACTTCTATTGCAGGCAGGCCTGTTTTGGAAAGCCGGTTGATTAACTCAATTTTGGTATCAGTTGGTACTATCACCTATGGACATGGAGACATACTATAGTAAAGCATTTCATTCAGTAAGAAACTTTTGTAAGTGAAATGTTCTCAGTACACAATCAATTTTATTTTTTTTAATAATGAACTACACTCACGCATTATACCTTAACTATACTATTTCCTGACAGTAGGAAGCTACTGCATAAAGAAAGCACTAGGCAGTATACATGTTCCTACTCCTTTTTTCATCCACGACAAAAGAATGAGGAAGCAGTTCTGTGGAACTGGTTATAGATCTGGCCTCACTAATTGTTGGTAACCAAACACCAACCTAGCAAAGAAGCAACAAAGGAAATGGCAACACAGAACAGTCCAACCAGAGAAAAATGGGGGGAAAAAAGCTCCACAGCTGAGGCAGAGTAATTCCATTCTGTTAATACTACTAACATGTTTGATATCAGTAACAATATATGTAAGCTTATCCTCCTGTTTGTGGAAAGAGACGACTGTTTTGATACGTGTACCCTATTTTACAGAGTCTCTTTCAATCTTCCATGTTTCCCTACGACCCTTCAGGCAAACAATATTGTCAAAAGAGTAATTTCTCTTTTTTTCCCATGCCTGTTCAGCAGGAAGTATGACAAAACCTGTAGTAGCACTTGTAGCACAAATGTGTATTATGAAGGTAGTCAGTGTTTCACGGCATTTACCAATTATGTCATGACAGAATGTCATTGACTGACAAGACAAATTTCAGAAAAAGAAATGGTAGTTGAGTAACAGAAAGGCTAATAAACCAAGTCTAGAAAGAAATTATATGATTTAACATCTGGCTAAATAGTAACATACTTTTATTCTAATACACAAAACAGTTATTAATATGAAAAGAAATAAATATATTTATAGGACAAAATGGAAGAAACATAATTAGCAGGATGTACGTGTTTTACACAATGAAAATAACATTGCTATCCATGTCAAAACACACACACACACACACAAAAGAAAAATTACCTTTTCATTTTGTAATCCATCCCTTGGCCCAACTTCTACAATCTTTATGTACTCAGGCAGTCCAGATGCTTGAGATTCCTGAAATAAAAATCAATACTGAAACACAAAACAATGAAGGTCACCAAGATCAAAGGTACAGCTTGTACTTGTCCTTTCATATGATTCTGGGTATAAAGTCATATTGTCAACATTAAGTTTGCTTACGGCCTTTAAAAATCTGTAAGAACATGTTCCACACCTTGAGTTAGGGAATAAAAGTTAAAAGCAGAAGTTATCCATGTGCATGTTCCACTGCTCCTCTGAGGACACAAATGTTTATTATAAAAATGTGCATAAAATCATAAATGAACATTGTGTTTTACAGTGTGAGAAATATTCCCAATTCAAAAAGCTTCCCAATGAACGATCCAGTCATCCAAACTTCTAACTGAATGTTCTCAATTTAACTGAACAGTTACTTCTCTGTAAACGTTTGCAAGACTAGGCTATAAATCTGAAAAGAACAGAGCTGTCACGAAATGTTGAAGAGATTATTAATGAAAGATGAAAGTAATTCCTCTGCCTGAAGATGAAGGTTTTAAAGAAGGATTTAAAGGAGAACAAGGAAGGCCCCTGGTAGACAAGAAGAAGAATTTTCCAGGTGTAAGAGCAGCTCTGGAAAGGCAGGAGGCTGATGGTGACAGGGGGGAAGGAAGGCAGCGGCAAGGTCAAAGGGCTAAGGAGAGCACGGGGAGTTGGAGGGGGAGGAAGGAGAAACAAGAGCAGAAAAGCAGGTGAAGGGAAATGAAACTTCCCTTTTTATTATTTAGCTGCTCTGTTATTGAATCAAGTTGACAGGTGTGGCAGTTAACCTGACCTGGGCCTTCAAGTCCTGAAAGAGTTCAGAGCAGCTGCTTAGACTGACCCCCAAAAGCTGTGCGTCTTTAAAAACACATCAAACAGCCAGCTTGGGGCACACCGCCTGCGCCCAGAGGAGTGGACAGGAGGGACTCAGGCAGCCTCGCCGGGAGTTCTGGAGACACCCTGTTTTCTGTATTGCACTGAATACAGAATCCAACCCAGTGCCCCCCTTCTAGCATTGAAAGCCCGTGCTGGGATTAGTGCAAGGTACCTGCCAGACAGCTGCTCCTGCTGCACCCACCACCTGCCCTGCGAGGGGAGTCAAACGCCGCTGGAAGGACCACACTGTCAGCCCAGGGGACAGCTCCTGCCTCCAGGAGTCATGGCTCGCCCAGGGACCACAAGTCACTTCTGCAGTGTGTAAATACGGCCACTAATCTCACATCAGCCACAACCAGATGAAAAACCCATTTTTCATCCCTCCCTGGCTAGTATCATCAGAGTTGTTTCAACCAAATGGCCGCTAATTTCTCCTCATGGTAACGGAAAAATGAGCACTCCTACAGCACCTTTGGTTTCTACCCACATTCTCAGTGCCCGTGGACTAAACTAAATTCTCTGCAGCAACAGCTGCAATGCTAGCCAAAATACAATAAACATATTTCAGAGCATTTACTGTGTATTTATCTGAGCCCAGTAAAAAGAATGGGAAACAGCTGTACAGTATCTATCTGATCACGTGGGACATCTGGTAAGTTAAAACTCTGTCAGGCTGTGCTAAGCCCACACTCGCTGACAGTATAAACCTACTTAAATGTGAAGGTAAAACCTTCACAGCTGTTGCATATTGTTCCTCTTTTTTTAAGTTATTTTCACAAATATGGCACCGCTTCAGCACTACAGGCATAAATCTGGGTTATTTCATGATTATCAGATCCTTCTTGTTACAAGACAAATGCCGCAGCTGCGCTATGAGTGAAGCTGTGACTGGAGAAAAAAAAAAAAAAAATCTAAAATAGATTATGTGAACCAAACCTTAATTTAGAGCACGAAAAATGTCCATAAAACTTCAGTGGCAAAAATGTTCAATTTCTAGGCCAAAGCCTGCAAATCCTATTCAGTTCCTACTGTGGTAAAACTTTTGCTGAAATCAAAGAGCCGTACCTGTCTTTACAGAAGAGTTCACACAGCCAGAGCACGTGCAGTAGCCACTAACACAGCCATTCAGAGAATGTCTGCAGCCCTTGGATTTTCATAAATTTGGAATGGACATTGCAAAAGGTGTTCAAGTGTTAATTTTTATTCCCCACCTGTGATATTACAGACAAATCTTTACATTCTTCAAGCTGATGAACTAATAGCTTTGAGTAAGCATCCTGGTTCTTAGTCCAGAAGAGTCTTGTTTTGCACTGAATTTCATCTAGTTTTATCTATCTACAGTACATTCATTGCTCCTGTCTTCAGGGTCACTCAGTTCTTCCTGTGTGGTATTCAGTGTGGTATTGATAACGTCTCCTGTCTTTCTGCCATCAGCAGATCTTACCACCTTGATATTTCCTGGTGAAAACATATGGACTAACATGATTACCTTATTTTACCACAAACATATATTATCTCAAAAAATTTGGGTTAGTGCTATAGAAGAAACACATCCTAAATAAAAAAGACCTGAGGAACTCCACCAGCAATCTCTCTTTGGTCTAATAAATCTTTCAACATTATCTCTGTTTTCTCCTCAGCCAGCTTCTTATTCATCTCACAAATCCTGTTCTGATCATCCTTCTCCCCAACTTAACTAATAATTTCTCTCATGAAGCTCAGATAGCACACAAGTGAAAGGGAGGTGGGATACTTAGGTTCAGGCCCCTGTGTACTATTTATGCAATTTACGGTGCATAATAACTGGATAAAACTCAGAAACAAATCAGAGACTATATAAGTACATGTACCATCTTCTGCTGAGTCTAGCATTTTTCCATTCCGTGGCCCAAGTTGAATCAGAGGAGGAAAGGAGTACCTCTTCACCTTAATCTCACCTGTCCTACGAATGCTCAGTAACTAGCCGTTAGGACATTCTTCCAAGAAGTTGGAGACACGGATCATAGAATCATAGTATGGTTTGGGTTGGAAGGGACCTTAAAGATCATCTAGTTCCAATCCCCCTGCCATGGGCAGGGACACCCTCTACCAGACCACGTTGCCCAAAGCCTCATCCAACTTGGCCTTGAACACTTCCAGGGATGTGGCTGCCACAACGTACTTGCCAATGTTGTCGGAAAAACAGTTTCTATATTTTAAGAAAATCAAAAAAAGGTGAACCTTACATAAATACACAAGTACTTACATTAAACACTAACCAGGTCAGGTAAATAATCTTGTTTCAGAAAAAGTATTTACTAAATTGTATTGTATGAAGTATTTTCATGTAACGCAGTATAAAAAGTAGTTATGGTAGGTATTTAGAGGTGAGTGCTTATTGAATTATATAATGGCTGTTAAAAAGTAATTACTACCAAAGTACAATGTTTGAAATATCAAAAAGGAAAGAGTTGACATAAAAGACTAAAAGCCTGGAAAATTTGTTTTTTCCATGTATCAAGCCTTGCCAAGGGAGAACAAAAAGCATATAAAACCACAAAAAACCTGTCTACCTCAAAATAGAATGCAGCCAAAGAATCTTTTTTATAAAAAAATGAAAAAGGAAAACCATACCATTCAGCTTGAGACACTGAATGCCAAATTTCTGTATGGAAACATTTTTCCTGAGTTATAAATAGCTGAAAATTCAAGTTTATTATAGAAAATCCTAGTAACCCTTAATTAGAGCAGTATAATCTTCTTAATATACCCATAAATGTAATCCAATTAAATAAACACACGTTTTTAAGCTCTGTCACTGTTTCAGAACTTCTAGTAAAGGTGCTGAGGTTCATTCAGCCTTCTGATTTTCAGCCCATGCAGCTCATTCATATGGACATTAATAGCACTGGCAAATATTACCCAGAGCTACTAAAAAACAACTGAAAGGACCCAAAAGTGAGAGAGAAGAATCTGGAGGTTCAGGTCTTTTCAATCTTTCTAACCAAGCAAAGATGAAGCTCTGCTTTCCTTTTCCACAAGGTGGTGTTCTGGCACAGAGGACAACTGAGCAAAGGTAGGTCCATCTTGTACAAGGAAGAATTATTCAGGAGAGCAGTTTTAAACAAGGATCAGCAGAGAGGTGGCATCATAACTCCATATGTATATGTGCAGTGACATGGACAAATGCCCAAAGACTGGGAGAAGGCTCTGAGATAAAGAATGCAATTGCTGGAAGAAGAACAAAGAAAATAGTGGTCAATCTTCTGAACACATAGCTATCTCTCAACTTTACAAGACATAGAGGAAATAAACAGGAAGAAACTAAAATCTTAGTACATAATCAAGGAATGATTGAAGTGGTATTGCAGAGACTTGTTTATATAGTTCACACTACTGGAAGGCAAATAAAAAAGATATTCATTCCCAAGTTAACTAGGGGGAAAATGGAGAAGATTCACCTGTGAGATGTAAATAATCTCCACAGATATTCAGAAAACAGTGGGACACACCCACTGTGAATATCCCTTACCAAAGATAAACCAAGTATTCATCCTAGAACTTCTGCCATATGCTGCTGACATGTCCACTGGGAGAACAGTAGCCAAGAACAGGCCATGACTAGCAAAAAACCTCATCAGCCCTTGAGAAGCTTTCATTAAGTAAATTTTTCTTGCGATATCATTGCATAGTCATGACCTGAATGATAACACAGATATACCACAAACAAAGCAGTTGCAAGTGCTTTAGACAATAGGACTGGAATTCAAAATTCCATTGACATACTAGAGAAATAAATATGATGCATTTCAATACAATAAATAAAAACCACAACTCTTAGGACTTATTGTATCTGACACTGACTGACTAATTAAAAGAATTTTTGCCTGTTGTCCTTTACAAATTCTATCATGCTTATTTCTCCATTTTAATAATTTTGACCCCCAAAAAGAGATTTTTGTAAAATAGAAGACAGAGAATACCTGGCTAAACAGTTCTATAGAAAAGGACTGGGATATTAAAATGAATAACAAACTGAATATGAGTCAATTAACATCATGCTCTCAAGAAAAAAAAAAAAAAAAAAAAAGAAGAAAATTAAATGGCAACTCTAATCCTAGGCTATAAACAGGGATGTCATAGATAAAACAGTAGCC